GGTGACCAAATTTCGAATCTGTACATCAAATCTGTACATCACCACATTCAACATATTTAGGAAATAAGTAATTACCGAAGGAGGTGGCAGCGGAACAACTGTGGCCTCAGATTCACTGATGAAAGCCTGGATGAGATCAGACAGTGTTGCAAACGGTCGACCAAACAGAAAATAGTCGCCACAAACTCGTGTGATCCTGAAAAAGTCGAAAATTTTAACGCATAACTGAAGACTTTAAAAGGAACTTCATCCTAGTTCACTTTTGGTTGTTGCCCCCTCCCCCTCTCCCCTAAAATGAAAGGAACTCAAAAAAGCGGCATGTATTTAGAGGTGTGTTGAAATAGATATTGCTGTATCACAAATTCAAACAAAATCTGGGATGCAAAGATGCCTAAAAAAGATACGCCAGTGAATGGGGTAATTTAAACAAGCAAGGATTTTTCCTGGGAAAAAAGGAAAATAATAAGGAAGACTTCCAATTTTAAGAGTCCGATGAATCAGTTTTTATATTTATTTCTCATAACAAAAGCTGGTATTTCACACATAAAATCATGCACTTAGAACTTTCTGATAAAAAACCGTTTTTAAAGAAGCAATATATGTTAAGAGAATGCGCTATATACATATGTATATATATGCATATATATACATATGTACACACATACATATACATATATGTACATACATATATACATATATGTACATGTATATACATACATATATATATATATATACATATATATATAAGGAGCAATACATAAGTTAAAAGAAGCGATATATAAATTATTTCTGGTAAAAATCCAATGCCGCTGAACCGCCCTTGTGGCAAATTTTTGTTAACAATTTTAAAATCGAAAACTGAAATCTCAAAGAAGGAGGACAAAAAGGCCCTCGGGGGAATTTCGCAGCAAAAATGGACAATTTACTTTAAAAATTGTTTCTTTCGATAAGCAATCCAAAAAGTACTCTTTTTCGTTTAAATAAAAATGTGTTAAAAAAAGAATAGGAAGACTAAAAGGCATGCTTGTGGAGCCACTAGTTTAAAGTTATAAAGTGGAGCGGATGAGGAAAGCATAAGAATGTAGTTGATGGAAAAATTTTTAGCTGCATAAACGATTATCTGTGTATTAATGGCGGTTTTAGGATACGACATTTTTTTTCAAAAATTGGCATTTTTGATATTTAAAAATTAATTAAATTA